CCCCAAAACCCCAAAACCCCAAAACCCCAGTTGTTAAAATCTCTAAGCAATCAGATTATTTTGAAATATTTAAATTGATAAATTGCGAATGATTTTTTATTTGTTAATTTTAAATTGTATAATTAAATCCTACCTTTATCAGTATTAGCGAATAATGAACCTGACTAACAGCAGAATATAAGAATTTAACAAGCAACCCAGCAATCAGATACTAGAGAATTAAAAAGATATTGAAATTATGGGGTATAGTTCACCTCTTAAATTTTCATCATAGTATCAAAATAGTAACCAGCAAATCCCAAGCTATTAAAATTTGAGTTTTCCTATAAAGAAAGGCAGTTCTTAAGTTTTAAACGATAAGTTTAGAGCAGCTAGTAATTTATTAGGCAAGAGATCTTTTTCAAAAATTGCAAACAATAAATTATAACCGAAGAAATTCAGCCTCCCTTTATCTCATACAAATCATGAAGATCAGATTTAACTGTTAATTCAATAGAATAATTCATCAATTGATCTTCTAGACATGATATTTGAGAGCTCTCCCGCAAAAAAGGAAAGGGCAGAAAATGATAGCCTTAGCTAATAGTCTTCAAAAAGATAGTAAAAGATAGCAAGAAAATCATCCCAACAATTGCAAGCTCTGGAGATATTCTTTAAACAAAATCCCTTCCCTTGGACTTAAGAACTTGTAGTTCAAGTAGCAACTGAGACTGGTTTATCGATGACCCAGGTTTACAAGTGGGGTTGGGATTAGAGAAGTAAGCTTAGCAAAAGATATTTGCTTTAATAACATGCATGTTAGTCACGGGTTCAGCATCCTCATTTTCCTCTACTTATATAAGAATAAGATAACTTAGATTAGACCATTTAGTAATAGAGTCTTACTCAACTATAATAGAATACTTCGAATATCGACAAGCTCAACTCTGAGTTTTCTCAGGCAGAGATGCAGAGATATATAAGACTGAGTACTGATGAGTTCGGAGGCTATTCAAAACCTAAATGGAATTAATCGAATGTAAGCTACAATACTTATGGTAGTAATACTCTTAAATATTAAGATGAAAATCAAGCCGATTCTCAATTTTTGGAAGATTAAAAAGATGACGAAAATTTATGTAAACTAGTAGGAATAGATATTGAAACCAAACTCTAGGAGCTTTTACTTACTATCAAATATTAAGACTAGAAGGAAAGGGAGTAAGATGAGACAAATAAGGAAATAGACAAAGTCTCAATATCTAATGAAGATTCCTAATCTTAAATTTAGAGTGCCTATACTTATACAAATACTTTACAACAACAGAAATTCAAAAATTCTATTCCTAAGCTGGCTTTTCAGAACTTTCAGTTGGTAAATAGCCACCAGTAGCTTACTCTACCAAGATCCAGACTGGAATCAGAAAACTTCTTTTCTGATATGAGATCAACAACCGCCAACACTAGAGAAAATACTCCATAAGTATAATTCAATGATGTAAATACGCATCAGATCATTCATAAAATTAAAGTTCAATTGGTGAAAAGGGATTTGCAATGCCATGAAGAACTTATCAGTTAGACAGAGGATTTAGATTGTGATATTGACAAGGTAGGAGATATGTTTAGATAAAGACTTAACTAATATAGAGCTAATTTAGCAAGAAAAATTTAACAATAGATACAACAATAGACGCAAGCCACTGAAGCTTTAGAACACTCTCAATGTATCTAATAAAGCATGAGAGATCAAAGTGGTAGTAACACTTAAGACTAAGCATGCCTTTTTCTCAAATCAAGTTAAAGTATGAAAGAGAGTGAAAATCCAGAATATCAAAGAGAACAAAGGTTATCATGCTAATTTTAAGAGTATTAAGAAGAATTCATTTTCCAAACTATGAATGACTCTAAATCAATCAATGTAGATGAAGTCATTAATTTTTCATCATCCATCTAAGTATCGTCAAGAAATGAAAGACTAATCCACAAAGATTAGTCGTACAATGTAAAAGAAGATTAAAAGTCTGCTAAATTAGCTTGAAGTAAAGAGTAATGTGTGAATACTAATGTTTAACAGGTATTAATTTGACATAGGTGATTCTCCATAAGCGCCTATCTCAAATACTTAAAGTATATTTAATTCTTCATAAATTTTTCATATTTTTTAAACTTAAGATCTTATTATAGAAGCTAGGGGTTTTGGGGTTTTGGGGTTTTGGGGTTTTGGGG